CCCCCCCCCCATTACCCAGACAGCATTTGGACGTCAGCAGGGCCCATGTGCGTGATGAACCCTCCCCCCCCCAGCCCAAACACACCGCAGAGTCAGTAGATTTGAAACACATTGCCACAGATCAGCAAACAGCACCCCACCGGGTCACATCTGCCAGGGCCCGGCTGCACGTCGAGCCAGAACCCACATCTGCTTCCCGTTTCGCGTGGGCACGGCCATCGGACACAGTGCACTGGGTTGCCAAAGCCCCCCAGGGATCCAGGGAGAGAATGAGACCCCCCCCGCCCCCGCACCATCTCCGGCCCAGTGCCTGCAATCTGGGCCCTGGCATCACACCAAGCTGCTCCCCCCCCCCGGCGACCGCCGCGCTCCACTCATGATATCATTAACGTCCTCCGCCCCACCCCCACCCGGCACTTTGATCTTTAGGGAATGCCAAATCCGGGTGACCCATTTCCGTGAGTCGGGCAAGCTCACCCATGAGTAGCGAGGGTCAACCCGCCATCCTCAGAACGGTAAGCGACCCACTGACAAGGAACACAAGGCTGGATTTTGAAGACGGTGCAATGGTGCCCCCTAGTGTTCATGTGTGGTGACATTTAAATTATACAAAGTTGAGACTGGCTGACTTGGAACAGTGTATAACTCTCCAGTATGTTTATTTATGACTTAATTTATGAGAAAAGTGTTGGGCAAGTACACTCCAGCTGATGACACTAAGGTTTTTGGAAGTTGCATCCTTTGCGGACCCCGGGCCCCGACACCCCGGCCCCGGTAGGTGTAAGCGAGGGGATGGCGTGTGACAGCCTGGCACCTGCCACCAGAACATGGGGCCGGAAACGGGGATCATCTGCCCCATTCCAGACAACACCTCATCGTTAGTGGGGGGAGGGGGGTGCTTCGTCACGGCCCAGCAGTCCCACAGCTTCACCTCGTGGTGATCTGGAAACATGGATGCTGCTTGGCAACATGAGACAGGCAGGAAAGGCAGGGCAGGGGAAGCTTCCGGAAGGAAGCCACACTCCGCCTATATTTCCATGGCTGAGCGGAGGCCAGCCTGCTCATGGTGGCACCCGTGTGACAGATTGGAAGCTAATGTATGTATCCCCACGGTGTCCTCATGCACGGGTCCAGTGGGTTCTCCAGAAAGAGCTCACCAACGCTGTGCTCTAGGCACAAAGAGCTGTGGTCCAGACTATGTTCAGCACTCAGACAGCATTGCCACAGTCACATGGGATGACACACAGTGTCACAGGAGAACCTAGTGAAATCAAGGTCCAAATCAAGGTCCACCAATGGGAGAACCTAGTGAAATCAAGGTCCACCAATGGAAGAACCTAGTGAAATCAAGGTCCACCAATGGAAGAACCTATTGAAATCAAGGTCCACCAATGGGAGAACAGAACAGAAAGTGCAATTTCACAAAACACACAATCCAGACACACAGAGTCACTTTAGTTTGTCCTCGGCATTTATTTGCTTAAAATACCCCCAATCATGGGGCAAATTACAAATTTACAACTTGTTGAGCTGTCAGTGTGATGTCACTGGTAGCACCATCGGTCAATGATAAAAAAAACCGAAGGTTTAAGTGGTCAAACCGCATCAAATATGCTTCATAGCACCTTAAAGCTTTTTAAGCTCTTTAAAGCTGTCATTTTTTTGTTGTTGGTATCAACATTCAATATAAAAATCCACCTTTTTAATCACACAGCAACACTGTAAACATCCACTATACCTTAAGGCAGGGGTGTCGAACTCTAGTCCTGGAGGGCCGGAGCCCTGTGTAGCTTACTTCTTTCCCTGTTCCACCACAAATGATTCAGCTCCAGAGCTGTGTGTTAATTAGCACAAGGAGTTGAATCAGGTGTGTTAAATGCGGGGAAAACCCAAAAACTGCAGGGCTCCGGTCCTCCAGGACTGGAGTTTGACACCTGTGTGTTAAGGGCTCGAGAACAAGGAAAGACATTAAGTCAATTTTTATGTATAGAGTACTTTGATTATTACATAAACAAAGCGAAGTGACAGACAGACAAAGAGAGTTCATAGAAACTTAAACATAAAAAACATAAAAAGCTCATCCACACTCTCCTCGCAGTGACATCAGAAACCTATTCCGTAAATCAGCACTGAATCAGCAAGCAATTCTACTCATTTCCAGCAGATGGAGACAAAGCCCCACATTATCCCCCCAATTTCAGAATGAAATGTCCTATAGCCAGGTCGATGAACATGGTCAGGAACCGAGTCTTTACAGGAACACTGATGTTAAAGTGCGACCGGTATGAACGAAGTGGCCACCAACATCACCACTATGGTTCTAGAGCCCTGGCTCCGTGATCAGGTCGGTCAGTGGGCAATGAGACTTGTCTCTGCTAAGAGCTGCAGCACTACGTTCCTTTGGAGGATCAGAAAACCGGAATCCTCAGGTTATTCTGGGACACGTCAGTAGTTATTCCTGTAATCTCAGAAACTGGCCCTGGTACGATCACAGCTTGATCACGGCTTCAGCCAAACACACTAAACGTTTTTTCACCTTGCCAAGAGGACGGAGGCTCTTTGGGGTACCAGCGAGCACGTGACCGTCGTGCGATATCTGTGAGCGGGAGATTCAGGGGAACGTTACCGGTGTCTTACATAATGCCTCCCAGCAATTAAAAGGTAAAAATCTGTTGTTGTCTTGGAAAATCTAAAAGCAGCCTTTTAGATTAAAAGAAGGAGCAGAAGGTGAAGGTTAGAATAGAACAGCGTCTGAGGACCACTGGCTGGGAAGGAACATGTTTGTGAACATGTTGGAGTTCTACCCGGAAGGAGGAAAACCCCCCATTTGCGATTAAAGCTCTGAAATGATACAGGAGGAAGTAAACACCCCCCCGCCCCCCCCACTATCTCTGCACAAGCAGGAGGGGGAGGCCGGCGTTTCGTGGATAAGGGTGGGATCCCTGAGGAAACATCTGGGCAGGTAGGGGGGAGACGATGGAGAGTCGGTGGGTGTAGCAGTGTGGAGGCCCCTAGGAGCTCCTCCTCACCACATGGATGAAGTAGCACGGTGCCTGTGTCTGGCCCGGCTCGTAGCTCTTGAAGTCGCCATACACGCTCTGCTCACACTTGCCCTCGAAGGCCCCTTTCAGTAGCTCCTTGAAGTTCTCCAGGCGGTGAGGGTAGTAAGAGAGGCGGAATTTGCTGCAGATAGACACCGACACGGCCTGAATTAACGGGAGGGAGAGCCACAGCCTGCACTGAGAGCTTCAGCAACACAGCTACACTCTCGAAATGAATCAGGCTCCATCATTTATTTTGTTAATGGGCAATTTAATCCAACCATCTTTCATTCCATCATCAGGGACACGGGGAGCCCTGGAGCCAATCCAGGGGAGGGGCAGCACACCCGCGCACACGCACACACACGCACAAACACACACACGCACAAACACGCACACACTATGGACACGTCTCTGGGCCGAGGCAGAAAAGCAGCACACTCAGAGGAACCCCCTCAACAGGCAGAGAGCAGGCACACTCAGGGGCGCAGGCAGGACTCGAACCCGACACCCTGCAAATAACAGTACTGCCTGCTGAGCCACGCCCATCAGATCGATTATCAATAATTATTCAAACCAACTGCAATGTCCTTGGTGCTAAATACAAAAGAATACAATGAGAAAATAACAATATTAGGAGCCATTTAAGGTGACAAAATTTACATTTGGGTATCAGACATCCAACCCACACAGCCAAAATTGTAAAACGCCTCTCCCATTTCAGGGGCCTCCACCACTAATCCAGGATTTCCCCCCATGTCCGTCTGTCTGCCCGTGTCTGTGAGCCCCTCAGTATGTCTGTCTATCTACCTCAGCTCAGGTGAGCTTCCCTGACCAGCCTCCAGAGGTACTTGTATCGTGTAGTCCAGTGTGATCATGTGAGGCTTGTTGTTCACCCACAGCACCGACGTGGAGATGTCCTTGGTCAGGTCACTCTGTAACAGACACACAGAACCATGGGAAAAACACACAGCCTCCTCCCACTGTTCTGTGCTCCCCGAAAGACAAACAATGGCACTTAATCCAGCCCTGGAGGACACACACTCCCTCCCAGCTGTCTTGACGTCCTGCGTCCATGTGAGGTTTGCCTTGGGGCCTTTCTGCAGTGAGCATCACATGTGAATTATGCTTGAAGGCAACTGTTTCATGGTTATCCTTCTTTTTTGTTCTGAAGGTAAATGAATGTTTCTACACACAGTGAGCACAGATGTTATGAGTTTGAGGACAACATGGTTTCAGTTTCAGATCTCAAAACAGGAAGTGACATCACCATGCTGAGAGAGATACTTTTCTAAAGCATTCATACATAATCATGTATCCATCGCACGCTGCCTCCTCAGCCCCGAGCCCCACACCTGGTAGTAGATGTTCTTTCCCTGGGGGGCCCTCCCAGTCTCCAGGATGTAGTCATAGTTCCGATGGTCGATGATGAGGATTCCGCCAGGCTTCACCATACTGGCGATGTTCTGAAGAGCCAGCTTTTGGTCGCTCTGGTCCCCTGTTTAGGGAGAGGATGTTTGTCAGCAGAGACAGGGCAGCGATCTGCAGCACTGTGGGGTTAGGGGGGTGCAAAAACACCACATGGATGCAGCCGACCCCCCGATCCGGCATCTTCCCTCACCTTTGAAATCTGGCAAGTGGGCGAAGGAGTTTCCCAGGCAGATGACAGCATCAAAGCCGCTGCCCGGCTTCTGCACATCCTGCGGCAGCGTCAGCCAATTGGCCTCCTCGATCACTGGGGGACCACCAAAACGTTCACACCCTTATACCATTGGTCAAAAACAGGGAAGGTGATTTCCCTATTGGTCAAAGGCAGGGATAGGTCTTACCCCACTGGTCAAAGGCAGGTTCTTTCCTTCTCTCCCAGCGCGCCTTGAGGGCGTATTTCAGCATCTTGTCACTGGCATCCACACTCACCATGTTGAAGCCTTCTTCCACAAGCATGATGGAGTCGACACTGAATAGAGACACAGACACACACGCGTCACACTTCTGTGGCTGCTTCAGTGCGATGCACCCCATGGAGTAAGGAAACATAATTCCCTCAAAAAATAAAACATGACCGTCATTTCAGGCAGCCTGACCCAACATATCAGAAGCACAAAGGCTTTAGCCAGTTATTCCGTCTGACCTTTCATGTCGGGTGAGACGCGGGTCAGAGGAAAGAGCAGACGACTCTTTGCTGATTTCACATCTTCTCTTCCAAAATTCCCCTGGAGGCCCTCAGCCAGCTGTCGCAGCGAACAGAACGGCTGCTAAAATTAAACTGGCCCTGTCACTCTATCCTCCACCCTGGTGCCTGGAAAAGGAATTTTCTCCAAGCATTTCAGAGAATGACGGCAGCCATGGTGGGGCACTATACCCCCGGCCACAAGAGCACCTCCCGTCACAGCCTGGGGCAAATACGGGAAGGCTGGGGCTGTTTCTATACCCCCCATGCACCACACAGCACTTCAGGTAATCAGCTCATTTTAGCAGAGAGGCCTGCGATTCTCTACCGAAGCTACCTGATTGCTACAATTACAATGGCCACCTGAAGAGGGCAGTAGAAGGACAACCTGGCGAGCCTGAAGGCTGGTATTTCATCATTCCCACATTGCTGGGCAGTTAAGGACCTTCTGGGGAAGTCAAGGCGTCAGGTGTCACGGTGCTCAACTGTCAGACGGCCACGCCCCATACCACCCCCAACACTAAATTCACGGAATGTGGCACAAGCTGCTGTACCGGTTCTACCGTCCGATAAAAAGCAATCGGCTTTTAACTTCGTTCATAACAGTCGCATCTATACCTACACTTCCTGGAAAAACAGCACACAGATCTTTCAATAATTTTTTCATTTACACGATATATCAACAAAACGAGCTGGATGCGTATATACAAAATGGGTATTTAAAAAATACACAAACGTGTATATACATATATATAAGAAGAGAGTAAGGACCTTAATATTTATATTCATGCGTTGGTCCAGAGTGACAATAACGTGCTGACAGTATGCAGGATAAGGGATTATTACTGTATTTCAAATGAACGATAAACGCAGCACCAGACTCCGCTCTGTCCAGGATCGAGGCTTTATTGTTCCGGTAGGCGAGGCTCTGCCAGCGCCCCCAGCAGCGTATCACACGGGGAGAAGCATACCCTGTGCCACAGGCCACATCCAGCACCCGCTGGCAGTTGTGCTGCCTGAGCAGCGACAGCACCCAGCTCTTGTACTCCTCCGTGCGGCTGCGGGTGTCCCCGATGTACATCTGCCAGACTTTGGCCGCCTTGCCGTCGGCGTACTGGTCCGGCAGCCCCACGGCAGCCACGCCGAGCGAGCGTGTTCGGTACACGCTGTCCACCATGCCTGCGACACCTGCCCCTTCAAGCACAAGCAGGAATAAAAGGTACTGCTGAGCAAACGGTAGGTCCCTTTGCCTAAAACACTGAAAGCGAGGACGTCTAGCCCGGCACCTACGCTACCCACCGCTGACGTATTTATATACCTACAACACTCCCAGCTAAATATTCCGCAGTCGATGTTATGCTTTATTCTGAACACGCCCAGGGAGGAGAACTTTGGCCCAATCATCAGCCGGAGCTGGATGACGCCTACTTTCCTATTGGCTCAGACAGTCAACAAAAGGCCCCGCCCTCTGGGGGCGGAAACATGTGTGCAGACGCCCCAGTAGGTGAAAGTGGAGTCTGGACTGGGCTGTTAATATGTGTGTCGCTTATCCTCGACCGATCTGTAAGATCAGCGTTCAGACGAGCCGGATAGCGACACGAATCGAAATGCGTGGGTTTAATATTAAAAGGGTCGGCTTATCAAAAGGGAAAAGTTGTCGTGACTTGCACTTTTGATCACCGGAAGTAATCGTTTGTTTCTAGCTTTTTTAAGTAATGTGTCGCTCCATTTAAGATTTAGTGTGCACTTCCCACCCACCAGTAAACACCACGTACCCCGTCTTGTGGGGCCGGTACCAAGCACCACCGAGCGGACGTAGTGGCTTAGCTGTGGGTAGCACGGCTCCGCGGGTACTAAGCTGAGTGAGGTCTCAGGCTGCCGCTGGCTATTAACCGAGATCGATCTGCTCTTGGAACCTCCGCCACTGGTGCTACGGTAGTGGCCGGCGAGCCCTAAGGGGATTACGCCGTAGGTTTCCGGTGGCCCTTATCACAGACAGCCTTGACCACGATACAGGTTAATGAGAAAAAGCGCAGAATCCACAGCTGGTCCTGTAAAAAACCACCGTGTACTCCAGCTTCTGACCAAAGTGTGCATTAGAGTGTACCGCTTCACCAGGTCTTTCTGTTTTTAACTGATTATTTAAAGATTGTCTCATTTTATAGCCTAACTAAGGTTTTAAAGCGGTATTTACATTTCCGGTGCAAAAAAAGAAAATCTAAGCAAGTATAATTTTCTTATATTTAGACTAAATTCTAATTTCATTAATAAACTAATAGCATATCGTATGAATAAAATACATTTGCATATATTGTCTTATTTTATGACATCTTACCAAGTACAATTTTCTTACTGCAGTGCCAGATAATTTTGCTAGTTTCAGGATGTCTTGTCTCTCAACAGAAAGTTTATCTTAAAGTTGAAAGGCCATTTTTTGTGCAGTAGGCCTATATTGCAGATGAAGTCCTTCCATTTTCTTTCTTTCTTTCTAAAGAAAAAGATGGGGGGTGCACACCAAAAAAGAAACACTTCAAACAAAAATGTTTGATTTCTAGATCATTTGTGTTTAAATGTATTATTTTGAGTTATATTAAAAACGTTTTATCGCTCGATCCTTGTGTGTTGTTTCTGTATTTGCCTTTTACTGGTTTTGTGAAATCCCACTTGAGTGATGGTAAGCGTGACTAACAGGCCATGGTCAGCGTGACTTGGCACGGCCGGGACGAGCCCTTTGCTGCTGAATGCCGCCCCCATCGCCGCATGTGACCAAGCAGGAATTCAAGAGACTTTTCTGTACACCTATAGAAGTCTCGAACAAACAGGGGAACTGGCTGCTATAGCCACGACCCTGTTTACGTAAATTCAGTTTACAGTGTAACTACTCGAGGACATCTGAACTGTACTGGGAAAGTGATTATTTATTAACACTTTGAACTGAGTCGTACTGATCACTAAGTTTTAAAAGCTTGGCTGGATTCCCCCGACATGGCGGAGGCTCAAACTTAAGTGCTCACCAGGATTTGACCTCCGTCTCAATAAACGACAGTCTGACCGTGTTTCTCGGGAATGTGTTTGGCAATATAATGGCCTAATTGTGTTGAAAAACTGGTAAGGGGCTCAGTACATTCTTATTGCCATAAAGCGTAACAGAGGCAAACCGGCAGAGAGCCGACAGATAAACACTTTATACGAGAACTTTATATAGTAATAACTAAACCAGCATCTAATTTCCTAATTTATGACACGCATATTAATTTTATAGTTGTGCCGCCGATAGAAGCATTTGATTGGTCCAGAGAGCTGCCAGTCATCTTAGTATAAAGTCCAGCCCCGTATCTCCGTGTCTATTAATTGACCAGAGGAGCTGTAAACGTTTCCATAGATGTTTCAGCCAGAAAGTGTAAAGATAAGGACTGATAGATGTACTTTTAGATTATACCTATTTGTCTATGACAAACATTAGCTTAAGTAAGGAGAATTGCTGAATTTGAAGTCTTCAAATATCCTCTTCTTTCCTCACTGCTAACCCTCCACATCAAAAAAGTTCTGTCACAGAAGGTTATAGGATCAGGCCCAAAGAAGGACCCTTCTGTTGTACTTTTGATCAGGATACCTAGCATCAATAATCGCAGTGCTGAGGTAGCACCTTAAGGGATGTTTGCTTGTTTGAGGTTTCCAGCTCTGTCAGAATGAGGCTGGCTGTCACACATCGGCATTGGAGGAATGATTACGGGAAATCCCACCTCCTTACAACAAATTTGGCTTCTACCAAATACAGTCCATTTACCCCAGAAAACTTAATCTGTTGGGATATTTTACTTACATTTCAAAAGCATAAATATGGGTAGTTCTGCAGTTTAGGGGACTGTTCAAATAGACCCCTACAGTTTCAGGGCTCCACATAGTTTCAAGCCAAATAATAAGTTCTAGAAGTTACACTTCATCAGTCTGACATAGGCAGATTTCCTGAGCGAGGCCCTTGACCCCCAGCTCC